GGGGGTGATGGTGACAGCAACAACAGTGGCGGGGGTGGTATGGTTTCAAAAATTATTTTTTAAAAATATATTTATGATAAATAATTTTTAGAAGTACTTTTAAAAAATTACTTAAAATACACATTTATATGCCTATTTTTCGTATTAAATTTAGAGTGTTAATATTAACTGTTAGATTAACTTTAAAGTAAATTTAAAGCGATCTCAACCGTGAATAATAAAAATTATTTTATTTATTTTTTAAAATTTAAATTATAAACTATTTTATTATATATATATATATCTTGACACGCGAGTTACTCGACAAGCCACAAATTAACTCCCCTAACTTCTGTGAGACAAAAAGNTGACACGCGAGTTACTCGACACGCCACAAATTAACTCCCCTAACTTCTGTGAGACAAAAAGTCTCCTAAAAACAACAATGGTTGATGTAATCATCACGAGAATAGAATATATTTTTGCAGTATTAATTTCACAGTTTTTTTTTTTTTTGGGTAGTGTGATCAGTGTGTTGAGATCAATTTATATACATTTCAACTATATTTAAGATACGAGAGATTGGGAATAATAAAATAAAGAAAAAACAAATATTATTGAAGATACATGAGACTCAACCCTATTTATGATGGGGTAAGAATTACATGTGATAAAAAATAAATATTATATAAATCTATCATTATCTATAATAATTCAAACAACCTAGAAATCGATGATGTTTTTAGGTTTTATCGTATATCTATCAAGATGTGAATGTATTTCTTCTGATCATATCATATAATCTTTAATAAACTAATCTCCTTCTCGGTTAAATTAAAAAAAAGTCATCCACGAATATCAAAAAAAAAAAAAAAATCATCCACTCCGAAATTAAAAATTGTATTTGTGTTGCTGCTTATCCATAACTCACGTACATTCTAGAAGACATACAAGCATATATTAGAGATTGTGGGTGAGGAGGCTAGCTGTAGCCTTTTCTTATGAAGGAACGAAGCTGCAACGAAGTTATATCCGCGGAGAGAGAGAGAGAGAGAGAGAGAGAGAAGGGTTGACCTGAAGGACTTGAGGAAGAGGGGAGAAAAATTGAAGGAAGAGAACAAGGTCCAGTCCCCTTTGAATGCAGACATCACAATCTGTACATTAGCAATCTCCAACGTGGGAGTTGACAAAGTGTGCTACCGCTTGTCATGACTTACTTATCTTAGACTTGATGATATATTTCAGCGTCGGTCATTATTCGTATCTAAAAATTATATATTACTTGTAAAATTATAGTACTGTTTGAATAATTTTAATACACAGTGATTAGATTGACTTTAAATTGCAAGAAAGATTCTCATTATTCCTAAGATATAATACAACCAAAAACAAAAAAAACAATACTAACTTTACAATCATCTCCAATAAAATCAAAACCCTTACCAGATTTGAGAAAAAAAAAGGTAATAGACTTGATTTAATCTAGACCTTTTTAACAAAGAAACTCAAATTTAAAGGAAGAGAAATCTAAATTTAAATTAAAAAAAGATAAAATATGACTATTAAATCTTTTAAGGATAATAAAATCTAACAATTAAAAATTTGGATATAGATTTGACTTTCTCATAAATCTAACCATTTTTATCCAAATTTAAATTTGGGTATAAAAAGAAGTGAGTGTTGGATATGCTCTAAGGGTAGTTCAAGTGATAATATGAACAAGCTGTAAACTCACATGTCAAGAATACGAATACTGACAAATTTCTAGAGTCAGGTTATGAGGAATTTAATCCCTCATTAATATCTTAGTTTCGGCATGGATAGCTTGTTTTTGACTTGACCAATGAAATAATTAATCGAGATATGTATTAATTGATCTGAATACTCTAACCGTTTTTACGAAAAAAAAACACAAAAAGACAATACCAGATTAGTAGCACGAGTCCAACGATAGTAGATACATGGCCACTTATGCTGTTATGACCATGGGGTCCTGAGGGTGTGTTGGAAGCATTATTATGTTGACAAAGGGGAGAGGGAGAGAGAGAGAGAGAGAGAGGTGCTGTCTGTAGTATGCCCATTCTCATGACTGTTTCTTTTTCATCATTTAATTTTGTACATAAACAACCTCTGATCTCATAAATGGTCCTCTAATGGTTTTCATTCTCATGAATGTTAGTATTATGTTTATGGGGAACCCACCCTTTTAATTAATCCAAATGCAACACCATTCCCAATTAATGCTGAAAAGAAACAAAA